CGGAAACGGCGGTGCCTGGGCATATCGCCAGGCGGCAGGCTTCCTCGAGTCATTCAACGGCAATACGGCATTTAAGTAAGGTTTGCAGGGCCGTGCTGGCGGCAGCCGACCTCATCGTTGTCGATGTGAAGCGCTTCCTGTGTGTTAAGTGCTGCAAACGGATGCCAGGATCGGCATAATGTAGTGCAAGGTCGGTTAGGTGAATAGCGTTGGCGCGACTAACCTCGTGAGTGGAAACGTGGAGTTCAAGAGTAGGTTTTTTCTGCTCGCAGATCAACCACCTACCTGCAGGCGGTCTTCGTCGCTCAATGGTCTGAGCTCGTTCAATGAGTTTGCTAGCGGATGTTTCTAGAAGGTGGCATCGCTGCTTTAGCAAGTAGTGCTTTCTGTATTTCGCCCGGTGCAGATCATGGATAAGATCACCTTGATCGACACGGAAATAGCCGCAACTGCATGCCTACAACATCTCGATGTCTTACGCGGCTTCCTACGTACACGGACTGATACTAGTAGTTGAATGAGCATTAACGCTGCATCAAATCTGCTAAGAGGAGAGCATCTCGGAACCAACGTAAGGTGCAAAGGCCCGCACTCTATGCGCGTGAATCTGAGAGAGGATGCTCCGGTATGGCTCGCATATGAGCAGTCATCGAACAACACTGAGGGAGAATAGTCGCCTTGGACTCGATGAAAAGGCCGAGCAATATTAGGCCAGTATCAACTTGGATTTCAGCAGCATCGACGGAGGCGAAGTCCTACGCTTCCTCAAATGGTTCATTGACCATCAGGTCTAATCTCAAGCTGCAGATGCAAAGGCAGGCATGATGAAACCTTCTAAAATTCGGTATAGTTCCAACCAACTAATCATCTAAGTACTCCAAAGACTTGGCGCCGCCATCATCCATCATACATCCTTCACTATCCCAGCCAAAAGCGAGTCACGACCTTCGGCAGCCACAGCCGCAAAATCATACTCGGTCAGGAGCATCTTGGGACTCAACCCCGCAAACTTCCACACGCCGTCAACCTTTTTGTACCAATGCTTATTGCTGCTATGCCCATGACCTTTGACGGCGACTTGCTTAAAAGTCTCGTCAGTGTACTTTTGATGCGGCACACGGAGCTGGTGGTAGCCCACAACCTCGGTCTCTGAGATCTTTTCCCAGCGGCTGGCGCCAACGAGATGTTGCGTCTTGAGCAGGGGGTTGCCAAGCATGGGTTTGCTACTCATCATGGCTACGTAGTCTTCTGCGGGCATGGCTTCCCAGATCTTGTTGAGGAAGGGGTAATCGATCTTCAATGTGAGTGTTGTGTTAGATTGCGTGTCGTTGGAGGGAGGGTCGTGAGCTTACGCGGAGGGTAGGGGCGATGCACTTGCGAAGGCGGTTCCAGTCTTTTGTGTCGTAGCTGTCTGCCCACTCGTAAAGGCATGCATTCAACCCGAGGTAGTCTAGGATACTTCTTTAGTATCACATCATGAACGATGGAAACCTCGTGAGATGATTTACCGTCGAAAGTAATGTTAGCAGAAGATGCCATTTTATCTTAATTATAGCGTATAATGATCGATTAAGGTAGATTTAGACTATCGCCCGATTTGTGTAATTCGCGAGGGAAGTCAAATGAGAAGGAACCGCTCGTGCATCGAAACTCTGCTGGAGAACCTGAATGGAAATCACCGAGTGTTAATAGAGGTATCCCTAGACCTTAAGTAAAGGACAACAAGCTCTCTTAAGTTACCCCGATTTCTGCTCTCTCCACGATTCAATCTTAGCGGGTAGGTAAAGTAGACACTCCGCCCATAGAATTTGTCGTTACTATTCCAGAGAGCGGGGGACCGTGGGTGTAACCCGTCCACTTGCCGTTCCTCCACTTCCCGGAGAACTTTAACGGACGGCTATGTAAACGTATGGCGACGAAACACGGCATTCGCACAAGGCTTTTGTATGCCAAGCCGACTCGTTCCAAATGTCGACCAGTATCCAGTCTAAAAAACGCTCAGCTGCTCGGTAAAGGCCATAATGAGAAGTTCCCGAGTCTCACTTCATGATACAACACCACTCCAAAATGTACACAACCAAGTGCCATTGAGGAATCACATCACATCACTGCGGGAAATTGAAGCTGCATCGTGAGGCATTTACGCTATGTCTCATTATAGTCATGCAAGAAATTCGCCAAAGGGCGGTTGGTTTTGTAAAAGAGACCCAGGATCTACCCCCTTTTCCTCGTTTCTCGATCGGCCTAGACCTGGAATGGATCCGACATCAAGTCGTGGGAAAACATCTCAACCCCAAGTACACAAAAAATGTCCAAGAATGGAAAGAAAAGAGTTTTTGGTTGTGTTCGGCCCAGCCAACGTAGCTACCGGAACAGGTGCCCTGCCTTGTTGTCGCTGCGTGATCCCGTTTGCCATTTTCCAAAATCCGTCCAATGGCGGCGTCCTTGTCGACGTTTAGTAGGGCTTCTCGCCGATGCTGTTTCTCTTGTCAGTCGCCTGTTCATATGCTTTTATTTCCATTCAAGACTCAAACTTACTAGTTGCCAGGGGGCGAGTAGCGGGCGACGACGTAGGTGCCCTGGGAGTTGGTGGCAACAGCCAGACCGACCTTGGTGGTGCTCTTCCAGACGATCTGAGTGTAGTGACCGAAGCCCATGTAGTTGGACTCGGAGATGGTCTCGCCGTTGTAGGAAGACTTCTCGGCAATCCAGGCGTTGGCGGCGTTGATGTAGGGGCTGTCGGTGTTGGACTGCATGTACAGGTTCTCGCCCTGGTCAGAGACCTGGGAGTGGGTCAGGGAGCCGACGGAGAGGAGGTTGGTGGCCCACTCCTGGGCGTTGGCGGCGAGGGTGGCATCCCACTCGAGGGCCGGGACGCCGACGTCGGAGCGGGCGGCGTTGTGGGCATCGAGGGCGGCCTGCTGGTCCGAGGTGAGGCCGGAGGTGCCGCTGGAGGCAGCGGTGGTGGCGGCCGGGGCAGCGGAGGAGGTGGTGCTGACGGCCTCCTCGACGGGGGCGGCGGCGGAGGGGGTCACGACCGGGGCAGCGGAGGTGGCGGCGGGAGGGGCGGTCGCGGCGGGGAGAGTGATGGTGGAGGTGGAGGTCACCTCGGCGCCGGAGCAGTCGTCGGCGGCCTTGCTGGCCTCGACGCCGGTGTTACCCCAGCCCCAGTAGGAGCCGGACGGGGGGCCTTGGCCTCTCCAGGCGGCGGCCTGGGTGGCGAGAGCGGCAACGGCGACAGCGGAGAAACGCATTTTGATGGTTTGGTTGAAAAGGGGTTTTTGGAAATCACCGGGATTCTTGGATGTTGATTTGAAGGAGTGAACGGAGGATGGAACCTGCCAAGGCGTCGATGAGTACCGCTGGGGTGTAAAAGAGTGACAGACGCAAAAGGTCGATTTTGGGTGAAGAGGAAAAGAGAAACAACAGGAAAGGGACGCGAGAGTTGGGATATTATATATTCTGCATCTTGTTTACTTAGTTAGAGTTGTTTGCCCCCGGTCCTGCTGTTGTCGGGATATTTTGCCGCTGGCGGTATTCAACTTGAGACGAGTGATGATCTCCCGTATGCAAGCCTCCACATCAGAGATATTAAACCAGAAGACGTGGTGTCTCACACTCCCGGCCCTTTGGAGAGAGCACTTACGAATGATCGAATCTCCTTTGCATCCTGATAGGACCAGGGGATTCGGGGGGGAGCCTAGAAGTTGGAAGGGATTAGGATCTAGTGTGCTGAATCGTCCCCCACACCAACAACATTGTCAAAAAGTCTTTCCAAGTTCCAACAGTTTCCCGAGTTTCCTCCCCCCTTCTTCTGCAGAAGCCGCGGAAGCGCGGAAGTTGGATCACACAACGGTGCCCATTGTATTGGTGGATACGCTGACATTGGAAACGACCCCAGATGAGTGGTTTAAATTCGACCGGGCAGCAACAAACTCGCCCCTGTCGCCATGTCTCACACCACCACACCAGGATCTCCAAGGATTTCTCTGGGACGTAGCCCTACCAGATTATGTCACATCAGTGGATTTAGCTGCTGCCGGTAAATGGAAGGGACCCCATGTGGGGCCGAGCGTGTGGTCCAGGCAGCGGTCCAGAACCAACTCAGCTCAGGGATGATGACCAGTTCTCGACTCTTCGACTCCCTCGGTGTCTCAATCTCTTTGTCAACATTTCACCCTTTCTTTGCAGTGGACAAGTCTGAGAGTCTTCCTTACCGTGGTACTCTCTAATTATCTTCCTCACAGGCCCATTCAATTTGCTATTTATCGGTGTCCGAGGGGAACAGAACAGAAGAAAGCGAAAGAGGAGCTATCCATAGTGTAAGGTACTGAGCACGATAAACCCTATTTGGTTGTGTTCGCCTAGGTCGGAGTACCCCACCTGTCATTTCTTTCTCTGACACTCTCTTCTCGTCTAATTAATGAAGTTGCAGCCGAACGGACATTGTTTATTATGCTTCGATCATCCCGTCAAGTGGGATAAAAAGGCGTCATGGATGGCAAAGCCCAGCTCCTGGGCGAGAACTCAAGTGGTAGTCTGGTGCGGGGAATAGCCAATCAAACATTGCACAATGCTTTTTCGTTGCCTCATTAAACAACTTCAAACTCTAGCTTCGGCTGCAAGCCTTCACTCAGGGGTAAAAACAACACACAAAGTCTTTGTCGGGGCGTTTCGCTCTGGAACATTGCCAGAAGCACCACAAACGATCGATCTTTGCCACTACTAAACTAGTAGAGACTCACATTGATCATCATCGAACACGTTCGAGGCGCCTTGAGCCTCTTTTCTTGCTTTAAGCTCCTTGCTTCCCTTCCCTCCCTCTCCTCCCGCCCCTTTGGTTCGAGCCAATCCCGCCCGATCGATGGTCTTTGGCAGGCGCCGAGGCTTGACCTTGGCCAAGCTGGGCACCCAAAGCTTACACGGGCTGGGGCTGGGAGTTCCCACATTCCCGCGCCGTTGGATCCGGTGTCTTGGTACTGGTGACTGTGAGAAAATGGATGTGGTTCGTGTCATGCAAAAAATGTTGGCCCAGACCTTTCCCTACACTAGTTCGTCTGATGTCTCTCCTAGCACGTGTACATCTCAGACCACCTTCGACAAATCTCTCAATTACTTTCGTCATGAGCTGTTTAGAGTTAACTGGTAAGCACCGCGGCACCGCAAACTACTCTGTGCGTTGCATAAGTTTGCTAGACAGAAAATCTCTCAGTCAAGTTACACCATGTCCGTTGGGGGCCTATATGCCGCCCTCTAAGATATCTTCCAGGTGGGCCTCCGAGATTGCGAAATCAACATGGTTGAACTCGCCCCGGTTACATCCCGCCGGTACAGAGTTGAGCCAAGGTGTCACTTTGCCCCTCTCTGCCTTCTTCGCTAAGTTCGCTTCGACAGGTCTCCATTTCTCTGTCACGATTTCCTATTGCAATCCGCACTGTCCCCCAACGCTTCGACTGCTTTCCCCCGATGAACCCGGTTGACCGACCAATTGGCCAATGCAGAAAGTACCGTCGCCTGCCTAAGCACCTTTAACGTAGTACGAGTAGGATTGTTTACTGATCCTATGGGAACCTCTTTGCATGGATTAAGGTCTCAGTTTAGGCTCTTTCTTGTCCTTGCGTATGTTCATGAGAATTCTACGGCTTTCAAGCCAACACATAGTTCCGCTCCTGATTGTCCCGTACCTCGGGCCTTCATAGACCCGGCGAGTCAGGCATAACTCCACCGCCATTCACCTCACAGGCTCACAGGACATCACAATCTTGCATTCATATCAGAGTTCAGTAAGCGAAGTGGCGAGGAGACGCGTAAACGCTGAATCAGCCGCGCGAGAGCGAGAAGGGAACCCAGGTACCTGCCGCTATCCCCGGTGATTTTGCAAGGCGGCGGTACCCATCAAGTGCGGCTGAGTCGAGTCGCTTCGCCCAGATCTCGTATCAATGAGTTTATTAATCTACAGATCATTTCACTGGACCGATGTCTTCTTTTCTCTGCCTACGGAGTAATCCGTATGTCCGGGTCTGACCTAGGCCATACGTCGTTGGTCGAGATACAGTTTGTCGAAACCCGTCGGCTGCGATCCTTGGAGGGCCGTCTATATACAGCACACTTCAAACATATCGAGTGCCATACTTCCAAGGCAGCTTCGAATATCATTAGCAACTCGAGGAATTGCGCCTCACTGTTGTGCAGCCTGTCCCTATGGATTCTTAGCCAAGCTGACTTATCTAGCGCCGAACACTCGATAGAAAGCTCCAATTATCGCCCAGAGTGTCAAGACTCAGGCAAAAACAAACACTGCGTTGGCTGTTAGCACGGGCTGTACACCTTTCTGGCTATGTCTTCTTCACATGAATAAATACCTGAGTTCTGTCATTGTCATATCCAAAGCCTTTCTTTTTCAACGACTTCAGCTCGCATTCTGCGAAGAGGACATCGTGGAAACGTCTAAAGGTGTTTTTCAGGTAAACTCGACCAAAGCCTTGGAATGGCTCGCAGTGAACCTGACCCCTCTGTCTTTGAGTGACCTCCACATCGAAATAATCTCGTCCATGTCCAAATTCTCATCCCCAGGCAGAAAAGTGAGAAGACTGTCCTCTACTGTATAGTAAGTAGTTTCGTCCGCTTCCCTGTACGGTCGTTTTGCTCTGAACTCTACACGCCTCAAACTAGGCATTTTCTGCAAGTACTGGAAGTGGTGTTTGAGATGGTAAACCCAGCCAGGCCTGAGCAGAATCGCCGAAAGCAGTATCGTCTGAACATGAGAGAAAGGCTCCACGCAGCCGTGGTATTCCCAAGGACTGAAAAGAGCCCTGTAACGCTTCATGTGAGAATGCGGAGCAGGACGTCTGACAAAGTAAGGAAACTGATCAATGCTCGGGACGATTCGTATTGAGGTCGAAGGCTTCTCCAGTGGCCTACCGCGCTCGAACCAATTCCTATGGAGAAAGGTACATCGTGGTAGTCGTCTGTTGATAATCTCTCGAGTTCTGCGGTCGACCAGTGTAAAGTTATACAGGACTTCCATGGCATCTTGCCGGTGCTTGATTTTGCTCTTTTCACAGTTTCTGGCGTCGTCAATCAAGAAGTGCTCGATTCCGTAAAACCAGGGCGGTTTGCTTTGATCGAGCATGAGACAGCGATTCTCATCGGTCACCTTTTCGGACTCATATCCGGTCAATACCCATGTTAATGGCTCGACTGTCGATTCTAAGTCGTCAACCACGGCATCGACGATTAAGAGCCATATTTCGTACGGAAGCATGCCGCTGGGGAGAGTGGTGCCTCTGATACCAAATTTAATGCGTTCGAAGGTATTGTGAAGCTTGGTGGACCAGCGCATGGTACCCAATTGTGGAGGGGGACTCAAGCTGCGGGTTGGTGTTGGTCTTTCAAGGTTGTCATAGAAGATGACGAAAGCGAAGAGCAATGTGGCATAGGATTTAGTCGACATCGTATAGCCAGGATCAGCACTGCTTGTACCGAAGGTGTCAATGCTGCGATAGGATGGAGGGAGAGACGAGGTCAGCTGCTGTAGTGGTGGTAGATAGGAAGACTTCTTTCATTCTTCTACATAGCGATGTATGCGTAGAGGTCATGGCGTCAACAACCTTCTTGAGCAGGTTTCTCTTAGTTTGGGCTAAGACATGTATATCCGGCAGTTCTTTAAGTACAGAAAATTCGAGCTTCGAGCGGGAACAAGCAGAGTAGAAAGTATAATTTGAGACACCCTGATGACCTCCAGCATCGGAACGCAGGGTCTTCAACGCATACCTTGATAACTCGATATAGGCCCAACCGGCTGTGACCGAGATTTCCGTGAGCTCCATCTAGAGCACGATGGGATGCAGCTACATCGTAATGCAGAGGACACTTGATCTCTAATCGCTGTCTAAACTACGTTATCTATCTGGCAATGTAACCATAGGGACATGTTCACATTAAAACTCTCCAATCTTGCAGTGTATAGTAACGCTACCTCGTGTATTTATCCATGTAGAATCGCTTAATGATAGGCATTGGTTGGGAAAGATACCAAGGCGCCTTCAAAGCAGGAACTTTCGCAAGCGACTTGATTCAAATCGGGGTATCAAAATCGGGATATCAAAGATATCATAGACTAGCCTCCCCCGCTCAGTTCTTCCCACCTACCATGTATACCATCAAGTTCAAAAATCGAGTGTGCAGCCTAGAGTCAAAGGGTACACTTCCACCAACTCCAAAGAACTTACGCTGACACTCACAAACCACGCTTCCATTCACCACCTTATTCCAGCTCAATCCGATAGCACCTACACTCCTCCTCAAGAAACTTCATCCGCAAACCCTCATCCGTACGAACGAGCTCAATCTCCCCACGCAAAGCATACCTCGGCCGAACCGTGATCTTCGCACCGGCATCAAACAACGGCTCCCACAACAGCAAAAGCCGCGTATCGCCCAGCGCCAACTCCGCAGCAAGCTCAGGCAAGATCGCCGGATCAACAGGCAAAACCGCCGTGTGGTCGTGCAGCGGCTCGCCGGCGGGCTGCACGGGGCTCCGGATCGCGCACCACGTCTGCACGCACCTCAACTCCGGCAAGGCCGCGAGCGCGCGGATCTGCTTTCCGCTAGCGGTCATTAGGTTTCTCAAGCTACTGCTGACGCGGCGGATCATGCGGAGGGGTCCTCTCGTGGCTTCCTGTGAAGTTTGGAGGATCGCGGTCTCGAGGGGTTCCGGGTTCTCGCCGTCTGCGTTGTTATGCCGGTCCGCGGCTCTGAAGTCGAGGACGAAGACGTCGATGTCGGGGAGGACCCAGGCGTGTCTAGGCGGGTTGACGATGCCGCTGCTCCTCTGCCCCGTTGTAGACCATTCTGTGGCGTTTTCCGGGGTGCGGTGGTGACGGGGCACGTGGTGGTGCCGAGGGAACTTGCAAAACGTCTTGTCGACGATGTCGGAGACGCGTCTGCTGCGGAAGTTGGCGAGGGTGCTGACGAGGCGCCAGCGCTTCGTCTGGGAGGCGTAGTCGTAGATGTGGTTGTCGCTGATGTAGATTGAGTCGATGGCGTCTGGGCAGCCTTCGACGTGCCATGTCGAGACTTCGGCTGCGGCTTGGGCGTAGGCGGATTCGACGTAACGGTCTGCGATTTCGAGGAAGAGTTCGAGGGGAACAACGCCTCTTGAATCACTTGATTCGTTGGTGGCGGCCGGTGTCTGGCTGTTCTGGGATTGATCAGTCATGGTTTAGGTGAGGAGTTAGTTGAGATTGATAGCTATTGGTGAGAGAAAGTAGGAGTGGAACTTAGACTGGAGAGAGAGAGAGACGTGGCTGTGATTGCTTCGGGTTTGGTGCTACAGAAAATGCAGGCAGGCTGGAAGAGTGAATGTGAAGTTGTGGTAGAAAAATCGAGTTCTGTAGGTTAAGTCAAAGGTGAAGATGAAACTGATGCAAAAGTGAAGTAGGTCGGAAGCTAGTCCTGACGAACAAGAACCGGTACTAAGGGATGGGACGTGAAACGAAAACTGATTGATGCTATCTACGAGAAGCGGTTGATCTTGTAGAGATGTGTGGTCTGTCAGTTGTTGAAATCTATCCTGAAGTTATCTATCACTTCATTCTCAAGCCCCTTTCAACCTCGGTTCCGTGAGCTTGGTCTTTGTGGCCCTCTGCACACAGTGATTGTCATCCCTGCTTTGAAGAATCAGGTCGATAAATTAATCGTTAATCAACCGACAAAGACATTTCTTCTAGATCATTGTCTATGATATTCAATAAGACATTGTTAATGCCAATGCGCTGTCTCATATTCGCCGTACCGGATGCAAGGATTTAGACGTTGAAGCTTTTGAGACACTGGCTGAGGAGGCCCTTGTGCTGGCAAAGAAGTTGATCTCTTGCTCTAACCAGACGTCTATACCATCCAGCTCAAAGACAACAATTCTGAGATCTCGTGTAACTAGTTACCAACCCCGGGGTAGACTACTCGTCAGTTCTAGGTACCTACGAGTGGATGGGATGAGTCTCATCGTAAACGAGATACAAAACATCATTATCTCCACCAAAAATAGACAAAACATTCTCGTCCAAGGTAGGTAACATCGCAGAGGAGCAGAAACGTTCCTTACCGGCCTCTTCAGCCTTCCCATTCCATGCGCAATCGGCACGACAACGTCGACCAGGGTAATAGTATGAGCCCAGTGAACCGTACATAACGACACCTGCACCCCGCACATCATATTCACCGAGAATGTATGTCCTCCTGGCCCATAGCATTATACCTGTCCTATAACATCCCCAATTTTCGCGATAAAACAGCACTACATGAGGAGGTACGTAAGTCGAGAAGGTTACAGCCAACTCCAAATCCGGCCACCAAGAAAAAAACCGGACGTCCACAAAATCCCCGATTTCCCCCTCCCGAAAGCGGGGCCGAACCGCACGGGGCCGGGCAGCACGCAACCGCAGCACGCAACGCGTTCGCTCCGCCATCCGAAAGCGAGTGCCGTCCCAACATCGCATTGTCAAGTGTTTCTTCCCCACTCCTCCAAGTGAAATATTGAGACAGAGTTTACCTTGAAATGTCGTCTCGTTACGAGACAGCAGGCTCCACAGAAACCTAGCTTTCGCCCCTCCTGTTCAGATCACTATAAAAGCCAAGCAAACTCAAGTTTCTCACAATCTGACACCGAGTACTTACTATATGCCTATGATATGTATCCCCACGTTGATCATCTAAGCCCTAAGCACAATCACACGAAATGAAGTGTTGATGAAATGTATTACTATAAAAAGACTAAACCAATAAAACGTAAAAACAATCTAAAAATCCCAACGCCGCCTTCCGAGAAAAAGGCCTATGTGAGTCTCTCTCTGTGTGTGTGAATGTATATGTATGTATGTGTCGCAATGTTCCACACCCAACAGCGAACAATGCAAAATAGTCTCCTTCTCCTGCTCCTCCTCCTCCTCCTCCTCCTCCTCCTCCTCCTCTCCTCATCTGCACACCATGCAACACAAAAAAAACCTCCAACCCCTCATCGTTAATGCGAGAATTCTTCAAGCGAGAGGGATCATGAAACAGGTAAACAACCAGAGTAGGAAAACCCCTTCCAAAAAGCGAGCGATGCATCCCTCAGGAAAGGGTCAGTAGGGCCAAACAGATCCAAATAATCCGGAAAACGAGAAGGAGAGAGGAGTTCCAAGAAAGAAACAAAACAAGGAACGGGACCGACGCAGCTTTCCCAGGTGCTCAGTATGCCTTTCTAATCCAATTAATTTCTTTCTCCCGCCAATAACATCGAACCATTTACTTGCTCTCCGTAGCCGCAGGGGCCGTAGCCGCAGCCGCAGCCTGAGCTGGAGCGTCTACAACAACGATATCGCTCATGTCCCACTCCCCCTTCTGCGCCCTCGCGAGCACCTCTCTACCCTTATCCGTCAACTCGGGTTTGCCACCCGTGTCCGTCACCTGCTCGAAGAAGGCGGGCTTGAAGACCTCGCCCGTGCGCTCGCGCTCACGCGCCAGCTCTCGCTGCCGCTCCTCGAGCTCGACCTTGACCTGCGTCGCCTTGGAGAACTGCTTTGCGTGGATGGCTTCGGTGACGCCACCCCACATCGTCAGGGACTCGTTCTCGAGTTGCTTCTCCTTCGGGGGCAGCACCTTGGGCGCTACATTGAGGGGTGCGAGATCGATGATTGTGTAGCGGGCTTCGGCGGGGTGAGAGTTCTGCCGTATTCATGTGAGTATTCATGCGGCAGAAGGGGGATGAAGGAGGACAGGGAAGGGGTCACTTACCACTGGCTTGGGGCCGAGGGTAAACTCAATCTTCTCGCGCCACGGACCGCTCAGACGGGCGACAATGTCGGCCTCCGGGACGTCCTTGATGTTGACTTTGTCATCGTTCTCGGGGTCGTACTTGAAGATGATGCCCTCGACGCGGTTCGTAGAGCGGCCGAGCCACCCAGCCTCAATGTAGTGCAGGATCGTCTTAAGCTTGGTCTGCGGGCACGTAATGTACGCCATCTCACTGACGCTGACGCTCAAGCTTCCCCTGAGGATGCCACCGAGATGCGCGGCGGGGTGAGTGAGGCGATATGTCTCGCCGCCACGCTTCTCGAGCGTGACGAAAATACCGAGGTTGTGCTCACCAGGCAACACGCGCACACTAGTACCCGTGAACTTTGCCGTAATCTGGTCGAAGCCGCGGGCGGAGAGGCCCCGCTCGGGACAGCTGATGTGGAATGCGCTTACGGGCGGGTGGTGGGAGGTCTGCTCGGTCAGGTATGAGATACGGAGGGGCTTGCTGTCGGGTGTCGTGCTGCCGTGTTGCGGGACGGATAGGGAGACGGCCGAGGCGTTCTTGTCTGCCTTGGCCGACTTGAAGCTTGACGAGCTGCTACCCGCGCCGCTGCCGAGGGCTGTCGTGTTGATCTTGGGGGCATTATCTTCGGTTTCCCAATTACACTAATCACGTCCTCCATTAGCGTCCTAAAGTATGATGGGCGCATAGTGCGCAAAGAAAGGACCGGCGGCACTCACCCTAAAGAACTCTCCCAAACACGAGTTGTATGGTTTGCAAGGCTTTCCCTTGACGTACTTCAGATCTTTTGTGAACCAGAACCTGCAGACCTCGAGCATACGGTCGAGGGGTTCGTCCGCGGTACCGATGGCAACGAAGGCGTTGGGCGCATCGAGATAGTTCCAGTATTCGAGGTTCGGCGTCGGCTCGAGGAGTTGGGATGGCAGAGAGAAGCGGACGGCAGCAAGGTCGGCGACACCGATAAACCTAAAAGAAGGAGGCCAGTCAGCACGAATTCCGCTTTTCTGATAATTCACGCCTGTCTGGTTTTGGAGTTTTGCAGGTCTGATGAGGTGACGATGGCAGGTTTACCCCTCCAAGGATCGTCGCCCATCAGCCAACGCATCCCCGCCCGCGAAGCAGAGAAACTCGCCTCCTGGTTCCCAAAGGCACTGCGCATGCAAGCCCAAACCACCAAACGACGTCATCCACCACGAGATAGACTCACTTCTTCAGGATACCAATAAAGGTCTTGAGCTTGGAGCCATCGCTCTGAGGCTCCTCAGGCGTATCATGCGCAGCTGCAGCAGCCATGGTTGCAGTCTCGAGATCCGTAGAACAAGGGGTTCGTTGGTTGGTTTGGTTGTGGAGGGTAGGCGAGAGGTTCAAACGAGCCCGGCCGGTCGGTGGGTTTTCGGAGTAGCGAGAGAGAGTTTGAGGAACCGATGACGACGCTTCCCTTTCTTCCGCCTTTGGGTTGATTCGCTGCTTGGCGGCCTGGCTTCTCTCCTACTAGGTACAGCGTAAGGCAAGGTAAGGTACTGGGTGAGAGGTACTGTTGAACCAAGAAATCGCCCAGGCGAAAAATAGCGGCCTTTGGCTGCGATAAGGTGGGGTGCCGAGAACGGCTGGCGGGGTTGCGAAGCCGAGATGGGAACGGCCAAAAAAGAGAAACCGAACAGTGACAGACAAGCACACCCACACTGCACAGTACGTAACGACGTAAGGTAGCAGTCCCACGAGGTTTGGCGGTTGCAGTAGAGATCCAGAGGTGTGAGTTAGAGATGATGATGATGATGACAGAGTAAGGTTTGGGTTTTGGATGCTCGACTCCGGGTCGAAGGAGAGAGATGGCCGTTATTGCGGGTACGTTTGTTTGGACAGCCAAGGTATTCCGTAGGCGAGGTGGTTCCAAAGGCGTGAGCGCGCGTGTCCGTTTCGTTTCAGTCGTCCGACTCGTGCGCAGCGCGCCGCAGCGTTCAGATACGTATGCTATGCGATGATGAGATCCCGCAGAAGGAAATCAGACCCTTTACCTCGTCTGGCCTATTGGGAATAACCACTGTTGGAGGGCGACAACGGGTGCCGTGAGGTGAGGTAGTCTGGATATGAAATACTATGGACGTTGCCGTATCGGAGATGGATGGCGAACCGGCAAGACGAGCACCGAGAAAGACAGAAAAGGCGCAACCCAGATCGCGGTACGGAGTAGAGAAGAAGGCTCGTTCGATTTGGGGTGATGTTTTCCCTCTCTTTCTTTCTCCCCCAGCACACAAAAAAGTAAATAGACAAAGAGTTTGGAAATGGCGGTGGATAAAAAAGAGGACGAAATGAGAGATGAACCGAAGACGAAACCATACGCCCCAGAATGGTACGTAAAAATGTCATGCACGGCACCCAAAAGGCTACGAACAGCAGCAAGCAGCAATCAAAGCAACAGCAGCAGCCGCCAGCAGCACTGCAGACAGAGCTCCATGCATCGGAGCGGGAAGGCAAGTGGTGACGCCGCACAGAGAGCGCTAAACCCGCGCAATCTGACGAGGGGAGCGGGAGGATGACACCGGAGGCACAGCGCCAAGCAGCCAATAGCTGTAGCCAAGTTGAGCGTGTGTCTTTGGGGGGGCAGTATCGAATCAGTAGGTACTTGATGATACAGTGCCAAATATGACGTGATGGGTCACAAGACCGCTATATCACACCTATCTTGGCTGTCTCCGATAAGCAGTCGCACTGCCTAAAAGTCTCTGATAACGCACCGACCGTCCTTTCTCCTTCGAGAACAACTGTCAGAAACATACTTTAGAGTCAGATAAGAGCTTCGATAAGACATCTCTCCGCTCAGATGCAACCTTACCTTACCTAAGGTTCACCAGAAACAAAGGGGGCCTTGCACCTCTGACTTTTAGCAACCGCTCGAGAGAAACGAAGAGCTCTCGACAATGTCTTGTTTAACATCAGAGAAAACACAAAAAGAAGTAGACAAGCTATTCCAAAGCCACACTGAGACAACGCAGTCATCGTCCTTGTACTCACTTGGCCAACCAAGGTAGGTGTCAGGTAGGGTTAGGAAGACACGCTCCCATCTACAACCCCCAAAGCCCGTGTCCGGACCGCCGCAGACAGCAAAGCAGCCTCGCAACGCCAGGACCGGATTGCGACCAATCATCCACGCACATGTCTAATCCAGCCGCCATCACAAGCTCTCATCTCCTTGACTCAAGCCTCACCCCTTCAAACACGCCTGCTTCAGTGGTGAGAGGGAAGGAGGGGGAAACTACTGCTGGGAGGAAACAAAGCTCGAGCACATGGGAGGAATGAGAGGCTGCGGCGGCGTCTGCATTTTACCTTGGACACGATCTCAAGTGAGGTCGTGACATTCGTCTGTTACCACAGATTAAACACTGCCAGATACCTCAGATAGATCAGCATCTCGCACCTGCAAAACGATCTCATCAACACGGTTCCATACCCCCATCACAGTTCTGTAAAGCTGTACATCCTAGCCATTGCAATACAATCGAATAACAGTGACAGCAATCGCGCCTTTGAGGCTCCTGGTTCAGATCAAACACCAGCTGAAGACATCGAAAGGCTCTTACCTCAATCTCATGAATCACTGCATATCACTCACTAAGGTTCCACACACCTTCGTCCCTTCAGTCTTTCCCTCATTCGCACTGACTCCAGACCGGCCACAGCAACGAGGAGTAGAATTGGAGCCTGACTTACACTCCCAGCTCAAGTCCTCCAGAAGCCAATCTCATGTCAACGTCAACTTCAACTTCAAGCACCTACTTATAAACAAAGGAGGCGCCAAACAGGCAGCTGCATATGTCTCTACAACAAAACAGCAGCAGCAAGTAAAACAAATCCTCGAGCAAACCCTCAGAGCTCAAAGGAGGAAACTCAACCAGTCACGCGGTCCCAAATCCCACCCCGCAGACGACGCGCAGTAGTAGAGCCGCAAAGCCCGCAGGCCCGCAGCAACCCGAGCGTACATACCTTACGCAGTACTGCGTACGTCCACCTCGTATCCCGTGACTGCGTCTCGTCCCATGAAGCCATCACGAGACCAAAAAGAAAACCTTCACTTACATCTACCTACCCAATCTACGCCCCCCCCCCCCCCCCCCCCCCCCCCCCCCCCCCCCCCCCCCCCCCCCCCCCCCCCCCCCCCCCCAAATCCCCCCCCCCCCCCCCCCCCCCCCCCCCCCCACCCACCCCCCCCCCCCCCCCCCCCCCCCCCCCTTCCCCTCCCATCTCTCCTCAGCCCATTCTCCATCCCAAGGAGGCTATGAATCAACTTCACCCCGACCGCCTCATTCCCGCCAAAGAAAGAACCGTCCCCTGAGCCTTCCCTGACACTTCATCCATGATTATCCGAACGGTTCACCGGAAACACCATCAAACTCAACTTCCAATATTAAACACTTTGTAATTACCCTCGCCTCCATCTCGCCCGCCCACCCGCCCGTCCGCTCGCCGCCGTTATCCGCCGTTACTGTTGCTGCTGCGGCTACTACTACTCCGTACTGTCCCACTGCTACTGTTGCTGCAGATCTTCAGGAACCCCTCATCTCAGGCCATCTCAGGGTCCTGCCAGGGATCAATCCTCCTCGCAGGCAAAGGCCCTCGTCCGTGGGTTCATGGTCCGAGGTGGTTTCAAGGGGGGGAACCCGGAGCCTGGAAGAGGAAGGAGAAGGAGGCTACATGGGAGTCGGAGCAGGATCAGAAGTGAGGGAAGGGGATATGGGGTGGGGAGCTCAACGCCCGCTCTTGGGATCGTCGATTCATCTCTCTCTCTCTCTAATATCACCAACCTCATAACTCGGTAAGTAGGACTGTAGGAGTGGGTATGGGAAGGGGGGTGAAAATGAAAATGGGAATGGGGGTCTGGTAGAATGAAAGGATACATGTATGTACCGACGGTATCTCGGTATCAGACTCCCCATCGAGTCCAATATCCACCGAAAATCTCCTCGACTCGAGCATCATCTTGGACATGGAATCTCGGTCAAGTACTTCGAGACGAGGAGAAGGGGAGAAGTAGAAGGGGGAGAGGGGACAGCCACCGTTCATTCCCCGTCTTACATGCTACCCTTCGTGCATCTGATCGTCGTCGCGATGGAGAGAAATATACCAATAGCTCGTGAATGCCTTCAAAGTTTTTCGCCGCCTCCAAGGCCCGACTCAAACCACCAACCGCCCGGGCCCCCGAGAGTATCACCACTCCCGGACGGACCCCCCTCCCCCCCTTCAAAAGTCCAATATCAGAATGGCTTTCGAGCCGTAAAAGGGAATGCAACAATGTTCCACTCCAGTCAAAGTGGTGGTATCCGTACGCAGCAGGGTATCCGCAGCGCCGCCGCAGGACAACAACCGTGGCCCCCCGTCCTCCGTACCTGCATTCGGCACTCGACTCACCGAACCACCACTCACCCACCAACCCGGAGCTCCGACTCGAAAGCTGACCTTGCTCTTCGACTTGTCAAGTTCGTATAGCTTCATCCGAGCCCTCCATGTACCTCCTCAAACGAGCATAATTCCCCCCTCCAACTGCCAACTTCAGGGTCTCTGGCGCCATGGGAATCTTGGAAGATCTGCATTCTGAACCGTTTTTTTCCCACTCCAGAGTCCATGCATTCCAACTGACAGGTTCACCTGAAGGGTTGCATCGCATGCGGTGGGCAAGAGGAGGTGAAGAAGGAATGAGGGAACAGAAAGGAAAATACCACCCAGCAATGCTAGTCGAAGAGGAACCGCCGCCGCCGCAAGCCCGGCCCCCGAATCAAGCTTCATCGACAAAGCAACAAACAAACAACCCCCCCGCCCCGCCCAATAAGCACCTCCGTGTATCCATTATCGTGAAAAAAAAAAGGGGACCCCTCTCCCGGCGGTTGCTTCGTGGTGAGAAAGTGCCCCCTCCCCCCCGCCCCGGTATTCCGGCCGAACACGAGAGATCAACGCGTGGCAAAGTCCCGCGGTCGACCGACCGGAGGCTAGGAGCACCGGGCTTCACGGCCCTCCTTGCCTACTGCCGACGTTCTCTCTGAGGAGTGCTGAATCCTCGACGTCGGACATGCGTCTCGGGGCACCGGGGGGCGTGTTAGTTGCTATTCACGCCTGTCTCTTCCCACCCACCAAACATATCCTGTAACCAAACCCCCTTTTCCTGCCTTCTGCTTCATGTATCTAGACACGCAAATCTTACCTGTCCCCATGTCTGATATCTGCAAGAATCGTACGCGAATAACGTCAGTGCCTCCCCTCCAATACTTCCCCAAGTTGCCTCCATCGTGGCTCAGCCCTCTATAAATATATATAATTCCAATGATTTTCTCAGGGGGGGCCGCGATCAAGGGTTCCATTGAATGATTTCCACCCATCGAGAAACCTACCTCGTCGAGAAATGATCATCGTCGCTTTCTGCCCCCCCAAATTCCCCTCTCTTCCCGCCCTTTCTCAATACCCAAGCCCAGTGCAAACCTTGTTCGTTCCAACCTTGATCA